TGTATGAAACTCCCACACAAATCTCGATGATAGGGACTTCTAGGGTCGGAGTGGCGAAGGTTTCCTGAGCAGGAGCATCCAGCCTGTTTACAACTTTGGCAGGTGATAGCTTCCACTCGGGAAGAGTTATAAGGCTTCTGACAAGTTCTGCAAAACTGCTTGGACTGCCCTGCACACACCACACCTGGGCACCGTGCCATCGGATGCTGCACTCCTTGCAGCGATAATCACTATTTTTCTGCCATAAGGACTGGAAGCGCGAGTGCGCTTCGCCCGGCTGGGGTCTCAGGGGTGACCACCTCTCACGCGGGGGGCCGGCTCCCTGAGTCACCATCACCGCGGTCCTGGGCCCTCCCACCCATCTGGGCTCTGAGCACCCCAGCGCGCACCGCGGGGGCTGCCCCTCACCCGCGTTCGCTCGCCCGGGTCTCGCCCCCTTCCTGGGGGAGGTCGGGTCGGGTGGCAGAAGGTCAGGCGCGAGCACACGGCGACCGCACGGGAAGCGCTTGTGGTGCCGGCCGCCGCTAAGGCAGGGGGCTGTCCTGCCCGAACGCCGAGCCGCCGCCGCCCGCCCTAGCCGCGAACGCCGGGCCGAAGTCGCGGGCGGTGCACAGCAGCGTGCGCCGCCCCAGCGAACACGACTCCCACACCTCGCGGCTCGGGTTCACCGGCAGAGCCGGGTACCCCCTGCTGGGGCCGCGCGGAGCACTCACCTGCGGCTGGCGGGCCGTGAGCTACGCCCGCCCGCTGGTAGCTGTCGAAGTACCCGGCGGCCCCCAGCTGCGCGTAGGCCAGTGAAGACCACGAGGCCGCGGAAGAGGAAGCGGGAGGGAGTCCCCGCCCAGGTGCGCCCGGCTGCCGGGCCCGGGGCGGCCAGGGTGGCGGGCGGAGGCGGAGAGCGGTACGGGTATGAGGACGGGTATGGGTGCTGGGCGCTCGCCGAGGTACGCTAACCGTCTGGCATCTGTCCCAACGTGTGCGGCCATACGTGTGCCCCACCAAGTTAACAGGGCAAATCTCACGTTAAGTGTCCTTACTCCAGAAAGAAGGGACACAGAAAAACTTCTGGAGGTGAAGGATAAAGATCAGGTGTCTGCGTATTCCAAACTCAAATTGTATACATTAATTATGTGTATTTGTTGTATGTCAATTATACCTCAAAACTTTTTTTTAATTTTTTTAAGATTTTATTTATTTGACAGAGAGAGACACAGCGAGAGAGGGAACACAAGCAGGGGGAGTGGGAGAGGGAGAAGCAGGCTTCCCGCGGAGCAGGGAGCCCGATGCAGGGCTTGATCCCAGGACTCTGGGATCATGACCTGAGCCGAAGGCATACGCTTAACGACTGAGCCACCCAGGCGCCCCAACTTTTTTTAAAATTTATCATTTGGTAGTATAGTGATGCTCATAGGAATTAGTTCCAGGATATTTAGCTTCTGTGAAAGATCTCTGGATAGTTTGCCTTAAGTCTACTTTTTTTTTTTTTTTAGATCTTATTTATTTGACACACAGAAAAAGCGCACAAGCAGGGGGCAGGGGCAGAGGGAGAAGCAGGCTCCCCGCCAAGTAAGGAGCCCCATGTAGGGCTCAATGTGGGGCTTAATCCCAACCGGGATCATGACCCCAGCGGAAGGCAGACGCTTAACCGACTGAGCCACCCAGGCGCCCTGCCTTAAGTCTACTTTTTATATGCCATCTGTTTTCCCTCTCAGCGGTTTCTTCATTTCTGAAGGTTATTTGGCACAGTGCTATGCAGACGAACCACCTGAGACATTGTTAATAGGCAACTTTTGGTTCTGTAAGACTGTGATGTAGCCTGAGGTTCTGTAATTCAAAAGAGCTCCCAGGTGATGCTAATGCTACTGGTCCACAAAGTATAGTAGCAAAACTCTAGCAACACTCCTTTTCACTTACCAATTAACTGCCTCAGAGAAGGCACGGGGCTAAAGGCTGTCAACTACTTCTGTTTAAAGTATCTAGAATTAGGGGCGCCTGGGTGGCTCAGTCGTTAAGCGTCTGCCTTCAGCTCAGGTCATGATCCCGGGGTCCTGGGATCCAGCTCCGCGGGAAGCCTGCTTCTCCCTCTCCCACTCCCCATGCTTGTGTTGCCTCTCTCACTGTGTCTCTCTGTCATATAAATAAATAAAATCTTTGAAAAAAAAAGATTTTAAAAAAGTATCTAGAATTAAGAGGCACTTGGTAGTAAAAAAAAAAAAACACCTGAGTGAATGTGCCTTTCGGGAAAAGCACGCTGACAACAGAATACCAACTAACAATATCCATTACTGAGTCTCCAGTAAGAACTCCTGGTCCTATTCAAACTGCATATATGAGCTACACTGTCCTAGAGATCCATCCTAAAGTGGGATAAAAAGGTATCAAAGCATGTTTCATTCACTTCATGAACTTGGTAATTCTGTTCATAAGAAGAGTTTGCATTACAAATTCAATTTGTAAAATACAAATTTAAAAGTATGTATAGAATCAGGGCACCTGAGTAGTTCAGTTGGTTGAGCACTGAGGTCATGATCTCAGGGTGGTGAGATCAGCCCAGCGCTGGGCTCCCCACTCAGCACTGAGTCTGCTTGAGATTCCCTCTACCCCTCCCCTTGCTCTTGAACATGCACGTTCTCTCTCTGTCAAAGAAAGAAAGAAAGAGAGAAAGAGAGAAAGAAAAAGAAAGAGAGAAAAAGAAAATGTTTTTTTAAAAGTATGTGTAGAATGTTTCAAAGTGGTTTTAAATTTCAAAGGGAAGTTTCTCCTATTTAGTAATAATATATATGAGCATGTGAATGTATGCACAAATGTATTAAATATCTTAGTGCAGAAAATAATGTAATTTTATATCAGTTCTAATAATTCCATTGCTATATAAATCATTTCCTCAAAACAAACATGATTGTACAAATATTGACATGAAATACTCATGTTGGCATCAAAATATATAGATATATATGCATCAAAATACATAAATGTTTTGTAATATGCAACATGGCTACATTTTCATATCATAACTGCTATATGAAGTTGATCTCAATCAAGCAAGCATGCCAGGTTTTCTTTGTTCAAATGAAGTTACATAATTTGGAAAATTTAACACACTAAGTAACACTATTTGTTGATAAGCATGGATATCTGTCCCTTCATTCAAAAAAAGCAAATAGCAGAATGATATCAAGATACACTCCACTGGAAAAATCTTCAATATGTAACCAATGAAACTTCAACAAAGGAAGAGAAAGGGGAAAATATGTTCAAAATCAAATGTTAAAATATCTATTAATACTCCAGGTAGAATTTGATTAAGAAAACCAATTAGGGGCGCCTGGGTGGCTCAGTCGTTAAGCGTCTGCCTTCGGCTCAGGTCATGATCCCAGGGTCCTGGGATCGAGCCCCACATCGGGCTCCCTGCTCTGCAGGAAGCCTGCTTCTCCCTCTCCCACTCCCCCTGCCTGTGTTCCCTCTCTCGCTGTGTCTCTCTCTGTCAAATAAATAAAGAAAAGAAAAGAAAACCAATTAAAAGGAGAGCATAAAGAACCCTTGGTGGGGGAATGTGTCAATATGTACAATTGAAAAGAGGAAATATATTTACTTTCAGCTGTTGAAAATGAGAATAATGCAAACTATTAGAAAGGTGAATCTCTCCAAAAGAAGTGGACCAAATTGTTTGTAAGAAATTTTCAAGCATAGAAAAGAAACTGACACTCAGAGAAAGTAAACTGTCCTCACATGTTTTTTTGAGTGAAAAAAGACAGCACCCAAAAATTCCATTGAGATATTAGGAAGTAGATTATCTTGTTTAAAAATAGTGTTAAAACTAGGTGTCTGAGGAATTAATGGAATTGCTGCTTACAAATAGGCAGAGGATTCCTCCTTGGCTTTCCCGTCTCCTCTTTCCTGTATCCCTTTCCATTGCTTTTAATAAAATCCTTCCCCATCAACAGAAGCATTTTGTACAAAGAAGTTTTCATTAAAAAGGTGACATTTAGGGGCACCTGGGTGGCTCAGTCATTAAGTGTCTGCCTTCGGCTCAGGTCATGATCCCAGGGTCCTGGGATCGAGCCCTGCCTCAGGCTCCCTGCTCCGCGGGAAGCCTGCTTCTCCCTCTCCCACTCCCCCTGCTTGTTTTCCCTCTCTCGCTGTGTCTCTGTCAAATAAATAAATAAAATCTTTAAAAAAAAAAAAGTGACATCTTGTTGCAATATTTTTCTCTTGTTCAACAAAACACATCACTAAAATAAAACAATGCACCAAAATAAATGTCAAATTTTTAATAATTAAGAAAACCCACTTGTTTGTGATATGGGATTTGGATTCATTTAGTTAGGATCCATCGTTTTCAAAGAGACACAAGTATTTTAGTTGCTAAGTTACCTCATATGAGTACCATCATGTGGGTTGTAAATTAAATTATATTTCCTTTCAAATACAACTAGGTTTGAATAATAATGGGATTTCTTGTCATCACTCCTATCAAAGACTCTCCATAAAAGTCCTAAAAAGCAGGTGTTGGATCTAAATTTTACCCAGTCATGAATACCAACCGTGGCCGACATGATTTCTATAGTCATCATGGCTGCCTAGAAGGCAGTGACAGCCCTTCTTCTTTAACCCCTCCCCACAGCTTTCTACATAATAGGTCAGAATGGAAGATGCCCTATACCTAATAAAGGTCAGCAATCCATAACATATGTCTCCCAAGGGAAAAGTATAAAGAGGTTCCCTCTCCTACCCATTTTCCTCTTTAACCAAAATACACACACACCACAATACAATTATTCATTGGTTGACCAAATAGAATTTGCAGTGTTAACAAAAAGCACCAAAGCTTATATTAGCATAGAGACCCCCACAAAGAATAGTGCTAATAGCTGCAGAATGAGAATGTGCATTCATTTCATGTCATACATATTAACTTTACCTAGCTCAAAGCAAACACTCAAATCCAACCACGGTCGTGAAAGTGAGCATGTGAACAAGTAAACCATTAATTCACTTACAGCAAGTTGCTGGGTCTTCATCACTGTCATCAGAACAGTCCTGCTGCGAGTCACAGACCGAGTCTTGGGCAATGCACTGGCCATTGGCACAAGTGGATTCATCTGTAGGACAAAGCCTTCTGGACGGGGCAAGTGCACAGGCATAGACCCAGAGCCGATCCAGCCCAATAAAACCTTTCTGGCTCAAAATAGTCCCTTCCAATATAATCTTCAAAAAGCAAAACACGAACAATGTTTGAGTTTATGACCTCCTTTCAAAGACCCCTCCAAAAAAAGAATAATAGATATTTAATAATTACTGAGACAAACACCTGTTAAAAGAGCCAGCAAATACAATCGACAAAGGTCCTACTCGGGGAAACCTGACTCACAGGCGTAATTGATCTGAATGGAAAAAGCCCTACATTTAAGAAAGGTCAGCAATCCATAATATATGTCTCCAAAGGGAAAAGTATAAAGATATGGGCACAGTAGATCCCCTGAGGCCTCTGAGAAACCACACATGATCCAGTGAAATACAACATGCCACTTAAAACACTGGCTATGTCCTTCCCTGCAAACTTTTCATTTGGGCATCATCCTCATGGCTCTCTAACATTCAGGGAAAAGAATAAGCATTATCACTACTTATACACCAAGAGCTATAACTACGTCTGGTTTTTAAACTACTGAAATTAGCGTTGGAATGCAGGCAGGGAAAGGTTAGGCAAATAGTAAGGGACACAACAGATGAATAGAAAACTTTTTTAAAAGAATAAATATAAAAATCTATTTTCACAAAAGAAGAATTTCTCTAATAATCAAAGAAGTGCCAATTAAAAGAAATAAATCTCATTTTCTCCAATCAAATTGCTAGTTTTGGAGGTATACAGCATTAGCAAGTGAAACAACCGTCCTTGCTAATCCAATGTAAGATACTATCAAAGTATTAATATTCCTTGAGGTTCCACCAAGAGCAATGGTTGGCTAGCATCAGAGAGAAGGAGAGGCATGAAGAGCTGACTCTACCAAATATCTAATTCTCTGCTGTCCAATATGGTAGCCACAGCTACAAGGGGCTCTTTCAAATTAAATTAAAATAAGATTAAAATTCAGTTCCTCAGCCATACTGGCCACATTGCAAGTGTTCGACAGCCATCCGTGGCTATTGGCTACCATACTGGAGAGCACAGATACTTACATTTTCCCTTATGACAGAAAATACTATTGAACAGCAATGAACTAGGTGTTGTTTGTGTGTAAATAAGATACTAGGAAGAAAGACTAATTCCTTTTAGTTTTTTCCAGCTGAAAGTTTCTGACTAGATTTTCTCCTTTGCAAAAATATGAGGAATATATATATATTTGTTACGAATTACTTAAGTTTCAGTTCACAAATATATTTAACAATTTACTCTAGAAGATGTTACATTCAAATCATATCTAATAATAGGAAAACTTTGTACACTGCTGTATACATTCTCCATAGTGAATACCAGAGTATAAATATGTATAAATTATTGGACCTACAGCTGTATATTTTTATAGCAGCAAGAGATCAGATATGCAAAAATGATGTCAGCTCGGGTTTCAAAAATTGATGAGTTTAAACTTAGATTTGAAAAAGGTGCTATTATTGAAAGTTAATTATATTTAATATGCACTTGGAAATCTAGAATAACTCCCAAATTACTCTCTTTATATTTTGTTTTATCTTTTAGTTAAATAACAAGACCAACTTTAATATTCAGTTTATGTAAAAGGATGAAACTCCAATCATTTAGTACCTCTTTCAGAAGTTTTAAAGATAAATATCAGCTTAGAAAATTAAAAATTGTGTCAAATATTAATTCAATAGGCTATGATATAAACCTCAACTTTGCTGTGCTTAATACAAAAATGCTATGGTTCACAAATTCCAATCTCAGCAGTAAATGGGATTCTAAAAATCTGCATGGTTACAGTCCAGTATCATTTGGGTTCTCCTTTTTAGCACCTAGAAAAATGTACATATGTGGTATTACCATAAAGGAATGAAATTGGTTTCATGAGCCACACGTACAATCAGTCTTATTATTTTACACTCACAGTCCAGCATAAGCATATTTACACACTCTTTATACAACAAAAAAATAATGGAATTTTAAATAAAATACTGCACTTCAAAAATAAAATTATGAATAGCAATTAATAATACCACCTATTTAAATGTTGATCCCACTGACATTACTACATTTTGCAATGTTGCTATGATATTAGAAAAGAAGGAAATGATGGGCAAACATTTAATATGACAGCTAAAAAAAAGTTATCAGATATATTTTTCTGCCCAATCTCAACTCTATATACAACACGAAATCCCAAGGTCATTTTTTTAAGAGACCATATTCCCACCAAACATACGTATATTTCGGATATATCTTTGCACAGGTAGATATAACCGTGTTTTATAAAGACAAGAATTACTGTCTTCAAAACATTTCTATAGTCTTTACTGGTTTTTAATACCAATTTATTATTTATCTGCTTCATAATGTCATTTGCTTCCTTGTTTGCAACGCATGGTGTTGGGGTTGGAGGGGGCTAGGAAGCGAGCCCATGTACAGTGAAGAAGCTTTATACAGGAGTAATGTGGCTGGGGAAAGGCTAAGTACAATGAAAAGAAGTCGGCAATTGCTCTCTCCAAATACACAAATCTACATCCTTAATTTAAATCCTAATTTAAATTTAGCAATGGGTGATAAAATTCCCTACTGCAAAGCTACAAGTTAAACTTATGATATAAAAGAATACTTGTTTTTCCATTTTGTACCTTAAATGTCTTCAGGCTTTCTGGTATTAACACCTCTGCTTTCACCCATTTTCTGTCAGTTGATGTGTTGTATATCCAAGATATTTCTTCTTCCTTTGATTTAAATGAAATGACATTACTCATTCCCCAAATTCTACTCTAATATTTCCATATGTGCTCTCTCAATTACATTTCAGTAGAATTTACCCTATCTGTACCACATGAAGTACTAGGAAGCCTAAAGTATTGGTAAAAAAGTATATAACATTTTTTAAAGGAACAATAAAATGGAGGCAGGAAAGGATGAAAAAGTAGAGCCCAGAGGATATTTAGGGCAGTGAAAATACTCTGTATGATAATATATGGTGGACACATGTCATTATACATTTGTCCAAGCCCACGGGATGCACAACACCAAGCAAAACCCTAATGCAAACTATGGACTTTGAGTGATAATGACATGGCAATGCAGGTTCATCATTTGTAACAAAGGTACCATTCTGATGGAGGATGCTGATAATGGGGAAGCTCTGCATGTGTGGGGACAGGAGGAAAATGGGAAATCTCTGTACTTTCCCCCTAATTTTGCTAGGAACCTAAAACTGCTCTATAAAAACAGTCTTTAAAAAAATAAGGAAATAAATCATATCTATATAGTAAAGCTGTTTATTTTTTTATGATGGAGAGTAAGGACAGAACAAACATTTGAATGGAATTTTAAATAAAGTACTTCAAAAAGACAATTCTCAATAGAAATTCATAATGCCAGCTACTTTAATGTTGATCCCAATAACATTCCTACATTTTATTATATTACCATGACATTAGAAAAGAAATGACAGGCAAACACTTAACATGAAAGTTTAAAAAAAAATGTTATCAGATATATTTTTCTGCACAATCTCAATTTCTATATGTATTTTTTTCTATGGGAGAATTCATTCTAAGTTCCAAACAATACAGTTATTTTCTGGAGTTTATATTTCTATTTGACTCTCTTATCATTCTATCAAAGACCTTCTTGTGCCTTCTAGAGCATGCTATGTCATGCATCTGTAAAATGATCATTTTCCAGTTGGCAAAGTGTATGGAAAATTATGTTTCTACTATACACTATAAGGTAAGATACTCAATAAAAGTCTATAATGCAGTCCAAAGTTTTGCCTATGTTATTGTGCTTTATGATTTACGACCATGCTTTTATGCTCTGGAATACTAATTTCTTTAGATTCTATCAAACATGCAAGTTAATTTGACATTTCCCTGGGAAAGATAGACCAGATTGTTCATAATATTTATGCAATGGATGCATTGATTGTTTTCATGTATCAGTATAGTGAAAATGCAGAGTGGCATAAATATGTCTCAGGTTGAGCTCTGAGACTGTGCATATCCTCCTTCTACTGTGAGATAGAAAACAGCACTGGAAGGTGACATCTCATTGTAATTCAAATGACACATGACACTTAAGACTTTTTCAGACTCTCGTAAGCATTAATCTCTCAGCTTTGCTTATTTCATTCATAGCCAACATTTTCTAAAAAGGAGTCTATTTTCAACTTAGTCCTTTACCCTCTGATGTCTGCTCCAATTTCCAAGTCTTAAATATTTCAGAAGATAATCTAAACCTGTGAAACATCCATGGTAGACATCTTTTCAGCTGAGAGCTTCTGGGTCACTTCAGGATGAACCGGAGTTACACACAGTTGGGACACACAACTAATTTTTCTTTCAATAATTTCCTATGCAACTATGCAACTTCAGCTATTTAACTTCGAGACACTGACATCCTCCACAGATGCTTTAAGTGACACTGCTTGGTAAGTTGCATTCATCATGTCCCTTCACTTTCATCTTATGAAAATAACTTAGAGCATTTGTGCTCTTTTTTCACAATGACTTAATTAATTCCCCTCTGCTCTACTCGAAGAAGAATGTGTTTTCATTTTTTTGAAAAGTGAGCAGAATTCTTTCTAAACTTAAATGACTTTTTGTACCCTAAGTTAATGGTATGTTATGAAATACAGATTTTTCTATCACATTTTCTTGTCTGACAACAAAAGTAATGAAAAAGAAAAAGAGTTTACTCCTACTAAATAAAATCAGCTTTTATTTTATTCTGTCCTCCCTCTCAGACTCTTACCTAGTTATTTTCAACAGGTGGCAATGTAAGAAAGAAACCCTCAGCTCAGAAAAACCTTTCAAGTGATGTTTTAATTTTCTATTATCTTAAAATCAATCAATCAAAAACAAAAATTTTTTAAGAAGTCTTTACTCCCCTCGACCAGGATCAATAATGCTTAACCAAAGGTACCAAATTCCAGATTGTTGTTTTTGTTCTTTTTAAACTACTTTTGAGGGGCACCTGGGTAGCTCAGTACGTTAAGAGTCTGCCTTCTGCCCAGGTCATGATCCTACGGTCCTGGGATCAAGCCCCGCATCAGGCTCCCTGCTTGGTGGAGAGCCTGCTTCTCCCTCTTCCTGTGCCCCTCCCCCCTACTCATGTTCTCTCTTGCTCGTTCAGCACTCTCTCTCTCTCAAATAAACAAATTTTTTAAAAATTAAACTACTTTTGATTAAATGCGGGAACAGGAACATGTACTTTGGCAAAGACATTCCTTCGAGAAAAGCTTATTATGGCCTTTAAAAACAGTCTCATACAAGAAAAGATACTTTCTATGGCATTTTCTTCACTGCCCCAGCTATGTGTTCTTCCTATTTGCCACTGGCAATTTGTAAAATATGTAAAAGGTACCACAAGCTGGGCACCCCACTATCCTTGGCTCACTGACATGGAAACTGCCTTCAGGATAAAAGATAGGCTGTTGCTATGATTATTATTTTATAGATGATAGAGACCTAATCTCAAGGATGGCTATATGGTACAAACTAGAACTGTTACACACTTAAGCTGACCCTAACAGAGAGTCAACTTTTTATTTAACAACTTGCCTTTCACCTGTGTTTTCTACTTCTCAAGTTCTGATGTCTTCTGAAAATAAAGAAAACTACCTTTAGTATCCTTACAAGGTATTTCTTGATTTACTTGCTCATATCCTAAGGGTTATTTTCTTTATTCTATTCATGGAAGATTTAAACAATCATTTTCATCAAGAGCTAATTTTCTTAAAGGATGGGTTTGGAGTCCTTTTTAACTCTGTGATAAAACATCAGCTTATAATTTAAATGTATTTTGATGCAGATTTTGCATTGGTGACCAATATGTTATATATTATATGTAGAGATCAGAGCAAATAGTATGTAAGAAAAAATAGGATATTGCCTTGCAGAATACTGGGTAAACTAATAAACCAAATATCACTCAGTGCTGGTTCTGATTAATACATTAGATCAGTTCTCCATGATTACCTTATTTTCTTATATATGATGTGGTATCTGAAGTCAATTTGTTTATAATCTTTTCTTATACACTCCCAAATTTACAATCCATCACTGATGTTCAGCGTAGATTAAAATAATCTTTAGGATTAGGATATATATGACACAAATGTCTACTTAAATTTAAGATAACTCATTCAACATTCAGTGAATATTAATTACCTGTCATGTGAAAAGTACTATCATATGACCATATTTTTTTTAAAGATTTTATTTATTTGTTTGAGAGAAAGAGAGAGCACAAGCAGGGGGAAGGGATAGAGGGAGAAGCAGACTCCCTGCTGAGCAGGGAGCCTGACGTGGGACTCGATCCCGGGACTCCAGGATCATGACCTGAGCCGAAGGCAGTCGCTTAACCAACTGAGCCACCCAGGCACCCAGGACCATATATTTTTTAAAACACCTTTAACTATAATATAAATTCAATGAGATTATTCTAGTGTAAAATACTATCACAAAAATGCCACAAAACTATAACATAGTTACAGAACATTAGAAATTGTGTCTCATCCATGAAAACAAACAAAATGTATTAGGCCATCTAATGAGCCTATTCATTCAATTTCATGCTTTAGAACTCTGTGAATGTTCTGAAAAAGAAGAGGTAGAAGAAAAAAGACTGGACATGAAGAAAATGATACAAAAGAAAAGAGAGGGGTGATGTGATAGAACTAGGGGGAAAAAAAGAGAATTCCTCTTGAATTTTCACTTCTCCCAGTAATAGGCAAGTAATAGGTCATACCTGAGGTTTAATTATGATGGCACTTCAGACTTCAGAAGCAAATGGAACAGAAGAAAATGTTATTGACAGATGGTTAGTGATATTTGGTAAGAATAGATGATAAATAACCTTTTGTTGGAAAATGAATCTGGCCAATGTCAGAGGAAGTTTTAACTGGATTTATTCAAAGCATCTGAAGCCAAAAGAATCTTGAGTTGGATGTTTTTACTGTCTTCCTTTTTCCTGTCAGAATTCCCGCAATTATTGTTAACTGTTTCCCATTGCTAGAATGACTGCTATTTACCCCTGTGATTTTTTATTTAACTTCTATCTATAAATAAATTTTCTTCACAATAGAAATTCTCAAAGTGTCTCAGATATTTTTCCACTTGTGGAGGATTGTTTTCAGTTAAATTTAGGTATAAAAGAAAAAAAGAAAAAAGCTTGGATTTGTTTTATTTGCTAGCATTACCACTGCAATTTTCATTCAACCCAGTGAGCCATTTTTTTCCATTCCAATGACTCATTTGTTTGTATTTAATCAGTAATTATCAGTCTCTAAAATTATATCTACTAGTACCATAACAAGGAATTTGTATCCATCATAATTACAGGTCTAGTGATATATGGATCTAAAATCCAAAACAGATCCATCAGAATGTCAATACAGAGCCAACAATACAGAATCTCAAATATCTCATTTTTATTAGACCTATAATTTCTTTAATATACTTCCATGAATTTTTAACAATTTTAAAAAATAATATTGTACAAATTATCACATTAAATTTTCTACATGACAGTATTTTTTTTAAGTAGCCTCCATGCCCAGCATGGAGCCCAACACTGGTCTTGAACTCACAACCTGAGATCAAGACCTGAGGTGAGATCAAGAATAGGACACTTAACCAACTGAGCCACTCTGGCACACCTACATGACAGTAGGTCTTAAACCTGGTTCTTTAAAAAAAAAAAAATGTTTTATTTATTTACTTGAGAGAGAGAGAGACAGAGATAGCTAGAGAGAGAAATGAGCTGGGAGGAGAGGGAGAAGCAGGCTCCCCGCTGAGGAGGGAGCCCGATGCAGGGCTCGATCCCAGGGCCCTGGGATCATGACTTGAGCCGAAGGTAGACGCTTAACCGACTGAGCCACCCAGGCACCCCATAAAACAGGTTCTTAATATTTCTTCTCAAAGGTATACTAATAAAGTCAAGTTAAAGAATACCTAAAGCCTACACACAACTGAGAAATAGAAACACAAGTTGCCAAAATAGAAATTTCACTTATTCAATGAATTTGAAATAAATATAAGTTTCTTCTCACCTTACTATTGTACAGTCCTACTCTCAGAACACTGTTTTCCATGGAATAATAGAATTGAAGATGGCAGCTCTTGCCCAGGCAGTGACACACAGAGCTATTTAAATAAGCCCTGCTGTCTACATGGTTAAGAGTAGAAGTATCCTTAGCTCCTACCCATATATAATAACCTGAAAAATGAAGGAAAAGGAAGTAATTTAGAAAAACTTAGCTGCTTTCTGTTTGAACAAAATTCTTTTATTTATGGACTTTTCAAACTCAGGCTTGAAACACTAATATTTTACTTAAAGGGATAGGATGTTTTATTTATTTACTGATTTATTTATTATTATTAGAGATATGATGTTTTAAAATGATTATGTCAACTACAAATTAAAAGTTTTCATTTCCATATATGATTTTAAAATGCATTGATATCTGCTCCTAGTTCCTGAAATTAAGAAATTTCAACTCAATATTCTTTTAAAAAGATATCTCCTGATATAAAAAATCTCTGTGCTACAAAATTATCATCATTTTCTTTAAATGTCACAATGCAATCTTTCTTTAACCAAGAATTCCTCACCTTTCTTCCCAGAATTCTTTCCCCTTTTATTTTTTCTACTTTTTAGTTATAGAAAAACCTTTATAGTTTAAGGGAATATAATGTAAACATTATAATTAAATTATATATAATTAACATATAACATGTAATCAAAATCTCTTACCTAACCACATGGAAGTATCAGATACCACAGTCCTATTAAACTGCACGTATGGATATTGTAGTACGTAAAAATATTATCAATCAACTTTATCCCATCTGATACTTAAAACAAATTTGCACGGTTCTTAAATTTAATAATATAGACAATGCAGAGATACAAAGATATTTCTATGATTTTACAACTTCACTTTTCAATAATAAAGTTTTTCAATGGGTTATTTCTGTGTAAGTTAGTATATATTACTGTAATTTCTAAAAACTATGAATTTAAATTAGGTAAAACTCTTATTTACTGAGAAATATAAGACTTTAAGCAAAATACCATTTTAAGTTAACACTTTGTATCTAACGAAACACAAAGAAATGATAAGATAAAGACACATTTTTACAAAAGCTGAGATAGATCAATTTCAACATAAAATATCTCAAAAGATAAGGAAAGAACAATTCTACCAAGTGATGAGTAGGGCTGAAACCACAGAACTCTGGAACTTTGAGACCAGACCCAGGCTGTGGTAGCTTAGATTCTAACTTGAATGTTGCAAACAAAAGCTGGAGGAACAAACTCTCTCAATGAAGTCAAAGATTAAAGTTGGGGAATCCTGCTCAAAAACTAAGGTGGAAAATATACCAACATTCACTACCTTGGGCTGTGAGTAAGTGACAGGATGTGCTAAATTCCAAGCATTATCACAAAGTATGAAACCCTAAACTAGTACTGTTTCTAGGATTAGTCTTGGGGAAAGAGACATGAGAAAACACCTGGACTGTTCAGCTATTAATAACAAGGCTTATATTAAAAAGAAACAAATTTACCACCACCTTACTAACTGGAGTTTGACCAGAAACTAACTGACCTGTGAGAAGAGAAATATCAACTCAAGCAGGCTTTAGCCTTCCACATGAGGGGAGGAAAATACCCAGATCCAGCCCCCTCCAGCCTTCTCACCTAATGTTGGGGGAGGAAGCACTTTTAAAGGTCATGTAACAGAGGAACAATCTCACCAAAAGAATGAGATCGAATCATAGTACTCTAGAATGTTTCTCTTCCTCCTTACAACTTACCACAACTCACATAAAAGGGGGTCCTATATAATAATAGGTAATACTATCCAATGAACTGTAGGTCTCAGACATAATTTAAGGTCTAGGGAAACCCAAAACAATGGGTAAGACAAAAACAAGGATACCAGATGAAATTTTAGCCTCACACATCTACAGTTGTGGCAAGCAGTAAAGAGTCTAATCTCTAGCTACATAAACATAATAGGTCATGCTAAACCTATTGACCTTAATTCCCTTTACATAGCACATCATGTTTGCCTTTCAACAAAACATTACAAAGCACACTGAAAGGCAAAGAACAAAAAACATAGTTTGAAGAGAAAGAGCAAGTATCAGAACCAGACCGAGATATGGCAGGAATGTTGGAATTATAAGACTAAGAATTTAAAACCACTATGAGGAGGGGGAGGAGCAAGATGGCAGAGGAATAGGAGACCTAAAATTTTGTCTGGTCCCAGGAATTCAGCTAGATAGGAATCAAACCATTCCAAACACCTACGAACTCAACAGATCTAAGAAAAGAATAGCAACAACTCTCTGAACAGAAAAGCGACCACTTTCTGGAAGGTAGGACGTGTGGAGAAGTGAATCTGAGGCGATATTTGGGAGGAGAGAAGGCGGGAAAGGAGGCCTCCGTCGGCCGCTTCTGGCAAGTGATAGAGCCGTGGAGCACAAAATCAGAACTTTTAG